CCATGGATCCAGCCTGTCCAGGTCCCTCAACCCATGGATCCAACCTGTCCAGGTCCCTCTGCAGCCCTTCAACCCATGGATCCAGCCTGTCCAGGTCCTGTCCAGGTCCCTCAACCCATGGATCCAGCCTGTCCAGGTCCCTCACCCCATGGATCCAGCCTTTCCAGGTCCCTCTGCAGCCCTTCAACCCATGGATCCAGCCTGTCCAGGTCCCTCTGCAGAGCCCCAACAACTAATCCACCCACTTCTCCCCAGAAGGGCTGAGCCCCCCCACTCACATGCCACGCTCAGGCTGATGGCCTGGGAAGTGTCGCTGCCCCGCTCGTTGGTCACCTTGCAGGAGTACTGACCAGTGTCACTGGGGGTGATGTGGGCGAAGAGGAGGGTGTGGGAGGGACCCTCCCCCAGCCAGGCATTGTTCTTGTACCAGGTGTAGTTGAGGTCCTGGCCCTGCCAGCCTGGGACGTTGCAGGACAGGGTGGTGGCCGTTCCCTCCTGCACCTCAGCCGCGGGGCTCACCGAGATCTCTGCAGCTGATGGAGGTGGGAGCTGCTTTGGGGTGGTCTCAGAGGCAGGAGAACAGCCCCCCTGGTGTGGGACAGAGCCCGGGGACAGCCCCTCTACCCCCCCAAGCGTGACAGTGCCCCAAGCCCCTCCCCAGCTTTCCTGGAGCCCCTTCAGGCACTGGAAGCTGCTCTCAGGTCTCCCTGGAGCCTTCTCTTCTCCAGGCTGAACACCCCAGCTCTCCCAGCCTGGCTCCAGAGCTGCTCCAGCCCTCCCATCACCTCTGTGGCCTCCCATGGTCTCTCTCCAACAGCTCCATGTCCTTCTGGTTGGGGACCTCAGAACCACAGACACATCCCCCACTCCCCCCATCTCCTGGACCTCCAACCACCAACCACCTCCATCCAGACTCTTTGGGTGAACTCCACCCATCTCCCACGTCCCCTCCATCCGTGCCCCAGCCTGGGCTGCAGCCCCCCTGGCACTCACAGAAGATGTAGAGGGTGACGTTGGGTGCCATGCTGGTCCCCAGGGCGTTCTGGGCCTGGCAGCTGTACTGCCCCTGGTCCTTGTGGCCAACGTCCCGCAGGGTCAGGAGCTGCTGGTTGCCCACGGACACCCCATCCTTGTACCACTGGTACCCCGAGACCGGGGGGTAGCTGCTGCTCACCTGGCAGCTGAGGGACACCGTGTCCCCCAGGTGGATTCCCTGCCCCGAGGGGCTGACCAGCACCCGGGGGTCCTTCGGGGCATCTGCAGGAGGGGGGACAGAGGGACACAGGTGGGCAGGAGTTTATGTGGGAGGGTCTGGGACAGGGGAGCTGTGAGAGGGGTGGCACCCAGGACGTGGCCACCCGAGCTGGAGGGGGCACTTCAGCATCATTTATGGAGAGGAGAGGGAGGAGGAAGCAAGAAGAAACCAGCTCTTTGCAAAGGACACAGGGGTGGGGGG